CGGCGGACGCAGAGCAAGTTCATACTTACTATAAACAAAGTCATGCGCATGTCGCCGCGCTTGCTCCACCCTGATGTGGAGCACACGGTGGACATTGTCGGCAACAAGGGTGGGACTGTCGCGTGTAGATTAAATCAAGGCAAAGAGGGACCATGAGACTGAAATACCCCAAACGCGATCTCAATTTACATACCGCATCGAGCCAGGGAGCATGTTGCCAACATTTAAATTAGTTTTTTTTTAGATTCAGGGGCTGTCGCCGCCTACACTTTAAAGATAACTAGTAAGTTAAAGTATGGGTAGATTACTGGATGCAACTAGTTCATCAAACCTAAAGTAAAAGTACATTGAAACATCCCGGAATGCAGGTAAAGTTGAAAAGCGAACTATTGTTCTTCTAAGCGCATCCTCGTAGAGGACTTGAAAACTGCACTGAAGGAGACATATAAAGGAAAAGAGTAGCTCCCCAATAAGCACAAAATGCGAAAAAATTCATCCTCCTCCTCCTCCTCCTCCTCCTCCTCCTCCTCCTCCTCATCATCATCATCATCATCATCATCATCATCATCATCATCATCAGCAGCAGCAGCAGCAGCAGCAGCATCACCATGGCATTTGCCACAAAGTTTGTACTCTCATTAAGTGGCGTGCGTGTGAAAGGGGCGGAAAAGAAGGGGGTTGGCTGGGCTTGTGGGGGGGCATGGTCGGTTGAAAACAAAAAAGACGTTAGAAACAGCCGTTCTGGTTACTCTTACAGGTGTCTGCAATACCTGAGAATTGTCGGTCGCAAGTCATCGTGCGACAGTCCGAGTATGGAAAAGCGTAAAGGTAAAACAACAAATCCCTATTCTGTCTTACAAAACAGGACAGACCTGCAAAGGTGTTCGTTGAGTTTCACCACTCAGCTCATCATAAGAGGCTAATATTGTTGGGAGCCTACATCGGAAGTCCACTTGATGGACCGTAAAACCCTTAAAATCCAGTGCTGTCCGAAATTTGGGTCTTCAGCAGTTGCTTTATGCTACGTTCCTCGGCTACTTAGGTGGGATATAGTTTGCTTGAAAGAAATCACGGTAGTCGAGTCGCCTAGTCTTCTTACCGTCTGCAGTGTTATGGTGTGTTCCTGCATAAATGTGAACATGTTCATACGGAAGGAGGTGGGTGCTGTCGAAGCAAAAAGTTGTTCTGAGTTTGTTGTTTGGACTAGTGTCCACCGGAGCGTGCGAGTGGTCATTCTATACCCTCCCTTTACTGGAATTTTAAATGCAGCGCTGATGACATTTGAGCCCAAAAGTTAATTTGGATACTTAACACGGTCCAAATCCCTAATGATGAGGGTGTCATCAAAATACCAGGCTTAGAGTTTTGGCTGACACTGCAAGCGAAGCATTTGCACTCCATAAAACGTAGTCCCGCAGGCAAACCAGACAGCTGGAACCGTACTGATCTACCCATGGTTCAATTCAGATCTGATCACTGAGCTCAGGGCGTGCGTAAGAGCAAAAACATTGAAAACCGATAAACGATAGAAGCAGAAATGCAATTAGGCACAGAACCAGCCAAAGTAATCTTCGCGTAGGTAGCCGCTATGAACGCGCGCGAGACGACGAAATGGGCTCGCATAATGCTAACTGAAAGAACATGACCAAAAACACGACAGGTAACCCATCAAACCCAAATATTCTTATCCAATTTGGAGTCGAGGCTGACAAGGCCTGTGAGGAGGATACTGCTCCAGGCAAGTTTTTCCGGAAAAGTTTTTTTCTCAACCGCCAATTAAATCCAGCCAGCGCTGCCGAGCGGAATCGGGTCTCAGCAGTGGTGAGAGGCCGACACGAAAAGGTGAGCCACCCAGGCAAGATAATTTGTTTGCATTTGACATAATAGCGCAGTATTGCATCAGCCCCGGCAACATGGTTTTGAAAGACGGTTGAACAGCTTTAGAGACGAGAATTCACCCAGACCGTCTCAAGGGACTATACACCGCTGTGGCACATGGTGTAACTTCTGTCAAATTTTGACACGAGCCAAACCATCATAGGGGGGGAGCTTTGCATAACCGGAGGCCTCATACAAGGACGGGGGCGTGCGCATGTGTGTGAGAGAGTGTGGTCGTGGTTAGCAAAGAATTGGCGGGGTGGGGGTGATGAAGGGTATGGACATATGCGATTACACGAAGGAAGACCTCAAAAAGTAGATGAGGCGCGTCAAATGAGATAAGCGTGTGCGCACACGCGGTGCAAAGTTTTCTCCGAAGAAAAGAAGCGACTCGGCGACCGTGAGAAAAATGGAGACTTTCAGGAAGGAGCATGACGGGCCAAAAACACGTCATCACAGCTCTAGAGACAGGTATCAGTGGAGTCTGCACGGATTTCGATTAAGAGAAAAAGTGTAGTGGTTTCTGCGGCGTAGTCTGCGCATGTTCGAGAGTGAGAGACTAATAACGTCGTTGGAATGGGCACGACATCTAGAGGAGTAAGTAGCACTTGCAGAGAGAAAAACGTGGAAACTAAATAACAGAGCTCAGCGTTCGGAGTTCAGCTGAAGTTGTAATAAAATACGCAGGGCTGCAGAAATGGATGTACTTTTTACTGAAAACACGTATTAAGCGCCCAACTCACATCCAATGAAGGATCCACCGATGCCTATTGAAAGTTAACACTGAATACGGTAAATTACAGTACAATTAAGATCAAAAAACAATAAAAACGCAACTAATTCCGTTCCAGCTGTTGGCGCGGAGAGGCAGGAAATAGTTCTCACATTGTATACTTATGAAAAGAGGATGGAAGTATGGCGCTTACCAACTCATTTACTAAGTCTGATAAGACGATATATCTTGCGACTTTTTGGAGCGGCCCTCCTTTTTCGCCAAGAAGTCGCATCAAAGAGGGGGTAAAGGAGACTAACATATGCATGTTTGTAAGGAATCTAACTTCCAGCATCTGTTTTCTTTTCTCTACGTACATATTACTCCGCAGAAGGTGAATATACAGTCAGTATCACCAGCACCGAATAAGCGGCCTCTGAACACGTAGACAGGGGCATGACCACAGACACTTGCCGTTGCACAAACGGCAAATTGCACGTCCACCCCGTCCGCTTCTAATCATAATTAATGTTGGAAGAGGACGGAAAGAAAGACTTATAGCTACTTTGCCATCCACTTATAATCAGCTCAGGGGCGGTTATAAGGGATTTTGACCATAAGCAAAACGTTATAAGTATAATGCGAAGGGGACAAACGTATGACAGTTCACCATCGCACTCCAAAAATCGCGAAGTAGCCTATCACCATCTTAAACTCACTTCCCCCGTTGGGGATAATGCCCGAAGCGGAAGGGTATGCAGAAAGCCTGAGGCCGCGCACAGATGAGCATTTGGGGGCAGACGGACAATTAATATGGTCTTTCTTGTGGACAGTCAATAGACAACGTACTGAAGCAAATGAAGCTCGACAACTCGGGACGATGTGCAAAGAGCCGACGTCAAACAAAAACCGACACGGACGTAGGATGTTCGGCCGACACTTACCATCAATGAAAACCGTGAAAGCATCGAGTCCAAAAAAGGGTGAATAGTACCAAGGAGCACGACGCGTATGGCAGAAAGAGTGGACAGAGGAATCTAGGGGGTGTAGATGAGTAGAAAAATGGGCGGACATGCTTCGCCGACTCATGAGTGACTGAGGTGAGAGAACACAAAGCGGACTAAGACAACTGCCCATGAATTGCATAGAGGCATACAAATTGGAACAGGTTTCGTTATTGCTGGTTGAGGAGGCAGGTAAAGTAATTTACAGACGCTCCGAACGACAACAAATCACTCAGTTTTGTCATCTTCAACCTCATTCTTCGGCGGGTGATAATATTATTTAAGTAATTGCATTAGTAACAGGAATAGCAGTACGATCAGCCTCGTCATCCGAACTGCCGTCGCCGCGGCGCCGCCGCCGCCACCATCACCACCAACACCAGGACGCAAGTCATCATCAGGACAAGAATAGCTGAGAACACACAAAGGAGAGTACAACACTTTTAATTTATCGGCTTTTGATGGTCTGTATGACCACCGGACTTAGAGAACGTATACATGGTAACCTGTGAACAATTCTTTGCGGATAAGGTCAAGGACGATTTTGCACCCAACTACCCGTGAAAGTGGCGAAAGGATAAGGGTCTCACACATCATTATTTCTCAAAAAATTAAAGAAGGAATGTCTCCCGCTAGTGTTTTCCCATTGAGATCGGTCCTTATTCCTTAGGTGGTGGTCTGTCCCCCTGTTCATGGTATAAGGACCCGGGATAAACTATAATTT